TGTTCCAAAATTTGATCTAAGTAGTTTATTTATATTATACTTTTTAAACTTATTATGTTTTTTTAGTATTGCTAACTTTAAATATATTATGGTGATGATATATAACTTTTACTTTTGAAACTTATTATGTTTTTTAGTATTGTTGACTTTAATATATTATAGTGATAATATATAATTTTGGGTTATACAGTAAATTTTAGATTGTGATATTATGTATTAGATTCATACTCTTAGTTAGTGTTTGTTTGCAGCACTAGATGGGATAAAATTATTTTATCCCACATAAAAGAGTGTCTACTTTTGTTGGTACCTCTAATTCTCCCATCCCCAAGCTTGGCAACATTCGTGGGTGGTTAAAATGCATAAAGAACTTTGAATTGTCTGTGAATTTATGAAATTTAATGTAGGTGTTATGAAGAATACACGATTCCATTTTGACTGTATTCATGAAATTGTTTATATTCATTAAGAGATTAACGTATTAATCTTGGTATTTTATATTTTTTTATCAAGTATTTAAATTAAGATTTGTTTATGTAGCTGTAACTTTTAGCAAAAGTATGGTAGCCGTAGGGGCTCATTTTAATCAGTTTTTTTAGCAGTTTATTTACCATATAATTGGTCTGACTTTTAAACACGTGCATTCCTAAATAAATAGAGTATTAGTCTGCATTAATTTTATTCCAATCCGTGCATCGCACGGGTCAGATTACTAGTTGTATTTAATTCTAACAAATCTCAGTTATTGAAATTGAATTACTTGCCAAAAAATGAAAAAGAAAAATAAATAAATAAATAAAATTCGAAAGAAATATATATATATACTAGAGGTGGTGCACCGCGCAAGGCGCGGTCCCATCTGCCCATGTTTTCGAATTTTCAACTGCTTGATAAACAATAGTGCAACAATTATATTGCTATGTTCAACAATAATTGAATTGGAATTGCACGCTAAGCCATTGGTGTCGGTAGTCCAAAATGTGTCTTCAGCAGCATCCGCCTAGCTCCTTATTCATTCTTACGTGTTGCTTCACGTAATTCGTGACGAATTACACCTGCAACATGATGCACAACAACATAAGAGCTAATTGCATATAACCCCCTGTGTAATTTCGAATGGCCAAAAAGACCCGTGTGTTAAAAAAATTAGCAAAAACCTCCATATATTTTGTTTTACAAAGTACACTGCCCCTTACATTTAAATTGGGTGTTAACTTATATGAAATGACGAAACCACCCCTAATTAGAACAAACCAAATACCCCACACTAGAAAACAAAAAATCGGGAAAAAAAAAGGAAAGTTCGAAATTTTTGCACTTTGAGAGCGGCAATGGAGTTGAAGATGACAGACCACCTCAAGAACAAAGAACAAAGGAAGATAACTCTTGTTAGTTTTGACACAAATTTTCGGGTTGTTAAATTTCATTTGGCCTCTTTGTATTGTGGGAAAAATAGGAAAAGAGAAAAAAAGGAAAAAAAAAAAAAAAAGAACTGGTGGATCTGGCGGAGGGGAAGATAACGAGGGAAGATGCCATTGTTTAGAGTTAGGAGGCTGAAGAAGTTTATTGTGTCTGTTCAAGCTCCCCTCCACGTGCTCTAATGGTGGGTCTTACACACACACACACACACAAATATACGGTCTGTAAATGCATTTTTTTTTGCTTGAATTGAATTTCAGCTTCCCTTTTGTTTGTTGATTCGTAATGGATTATTTGATGGTGGGGGAAACTATTGATGGATGTAGGTGTGTGGTGGAGAAGAAAATTCTGATTTTGGGGTGTGGTTTTGGGTTGATTGGGGAAGATGGCTTTTTAGAAATATTAGGGATTGAATTGAAAATTTTGAGAACTTCATTTTGGGCCTGATTAAAATTATGGGGTGAATTTATAATTTTTTAAATTTCTAATTTAAAGGGTATTTGAGTCTTTTCACGTCAAAAAATAGACACCCATTCGCACATTTCGCGCGTGCTACACACGTTCGGCTAGTAGGGGCCTTATTGCTTTTGACTAATTTTCATAGGGGGGTATTTGCTAATTTTGTTGACACAAGGTGTTTTTCAGCAATTCAAGATTACACAAGGGTGGTTTTTGCAAAAAACCCACAACATAATGATAAACAACAACATTTGTGAGAAAACACTTATTTTCACTGAAACAAATTCCCTTCTCTAACTACAATTAACCTCAATGGCATGCTAATATTTGCAAGAAATGAAGATCAACTACAATCTATTAGCAAATTCAATCGTCAGATAAACCTTCAACCAAACAAAGCCTCCGCCCCAATTTCAGAAGTACATAAATCTCTCCTTGAGCGAAAAACTCTCAACCCTTTTCGACGAAATCGCTCGGGCCACTCGTAATTCAGATGTCTTCCTCACTAATTCTCTCTGTTTAGTGCTGTCCTTACTGTTTTTAACTGCTGATCAAGAGAGTTTCCCACACACAGAACCCATAATTTTCCCCCAATTTAAAGTTCAAACCGCAGCAAATAATTGTAAATTACACCTCCCCTTTTTTTTTCACTTTCACAGTACCATCTCTGGGTAATTAATACTTCATATTACATCTCACGAAATTCACCAACATACTTGAAATCAATCTGAATAATTTAATCTGCTACAATCATATAAAAAAAAACCTAAAATACCCAAAAAATTCTTATCGAATTACTTCATGCAAACACACCATCGTACCAAATTCGCTGCAATTGTTGGAATCCTGAATCCGAACAGATGCGAATTGGCGGTTTGAGGGATGTCAAACACCGACCATGGGTCCCGCGCAGAGTGCCGACCCCGGAGAAAAGAAATTTGTTCACCTATATCTGTAATTTGTTTGAAAGAGAAATTTTAGATTGGTAAAAAGCTAAATTGAAGCGAAGAAGAAACAAATCCGAAAAAAAATTGTTAAAAGAATCGAAACCCTTGAGGTCCTCATCGGAGTGCACGACGGAGATGAGGTTCTTCTCCGCACATGTGGTGGAAGCAGCGTCGTCGATGCCGGCCGGCGCCTGAAGCGGCAGGACTTCCGTGAATCCACTACATGTCGGCAGCCGGCGGGCCAGTGGTGTAGGAGTTTTAAGAGAGAGACGGCGGCAACCTGGCTAGTGAGAGAAGATGGCTATGGTATTTCTCTCTCCTCTGGATTTAAAGAGAGAGGTTGCAGAACAGCAAAGTAATAATTGAATACACATGGAGGAAAAAAAATAAGGAAGATGAAATTTCTTGGCAAATATTAAATGCAGGAGAGAGAAACAAACATAAAAAAATGGGCCGTACGTCATTTGACATCATAAACCGACCATGGGCCCCCACGTCTGAGTACCGTCCATATTATATGAAATTGGAAAAGAAAAATGCTCTTAGTTACTTTTGCAGTGGAAAATACTAAAACGACGTCGTTTTAGTATTAAAGGGGCCGAAAAAAAAGAAAAAAAATGGGAGAAGAAGCTGGTGGGCGCATCAATTCTTATATAGAGTAATAAATATATATATATATATATATATATATATATATATATATATATATATATATGAATCTGCATTAATGGAACATATAATATATATTGATGTGAGTAATTACTGATACTAGTCGAAAGCGAAAATGGCGAAATTTCTCATAAGCTTATGCGTTCTCTCTTTACTACTCTTCGTCGCACAAGGTGCGTCTTAAAACTTTCCATTTGTCGAATTCTACACACATGCACATTAGGGTCTTTCTAGGGTGAGATACCCCATGTTCTAAACTTTTATGAGATATGCATTAATAACCATTAATTTTCTAAGATTAAATCTGGACCCTAGGAAAATAACATGGCTTATGTTCTAAAAAATGAAGTACTTTACCAAATTATCCTTCGATTATTTTTTTTATTAAATTAATATAAAATTGATTAACATTGCATTGTCTAATTTACCCCCTACTATATTTTAATTAAATAATTAATTTAAATTCATTGTGACCGAGATTTATTTGATAAATAATCGCAAAAAATGCTTTCATTAGGCATAGACATTGGACCTCTTAATACATTTATCACTCCTAACCATCCAAGCACATGAACTTAGTAGGATATAGTTAACCATAATTGTATAAATACTGTTAATTCAAATATTAATTGCAACATTCATTATTATTAAATGATATTAAATAAATTATTAACAAATTTAATAAAATAAAGTTTAAAAAATATAAAGAATTGCAGTTCAATACGCCAAACATCTATCATTAATTATATAATATTAGAAGTATTAATAAACTCCACCATTTAAAAATGTAAAGAATGCTCAATTAAATATAAAAAAATGCATAACTTAATTCAAACTCACTTATGTTATTTAATCGATAGTGTGACAAATCCAAATAAAAAATAAAATAATATGTTTGTTTAGAAGAAGAAAAAAATATAACTCATTCCAATTAGTAGTTTTCTTACTTTAAAATAAAATTATATACTACAAATACTATATTGTGAATTTTCTTTTAATATTTAATTTAATCAGCTAGTAAAATTTGAATCGATGAAGTACAAATCCTTTTAATTAGTAAACATTATTCAAATATTTTAATCGGTTGCTTAACTATTGACATAACATGTTACATAATTGATTTAACTATTTATAAGTAATGTCTAATATTTTTTTAATTCAATTTTGTCATAAAAAATAGTAAATTTAATTCCTAACACATGTAAGAACCTAATCGTAAATCATAATATTTTATCAAAGCGTAATATTTGAACCAATTAAGCTCAAGTCCTTTCAATTCGTAAAAAATATTCAAATATTTGAATCGATTCATTAGCGCGCTCAACTATTGACAAGAACGTCTTAATCAAATTAACTATTATTAATTAAAGTGTAATACATTTTTAATTGAATTTTATCATAAAAAAATAATTACTAAATTACGCAAGAATCAAATCATAAGATTAATTAAAGCGTATGATTTGAATCAATTAAGCGCAAATCCTTTTAATTTGTAAATATTATTCAAAAATTTGAATCGATTAAGTTCAACCACTGACAAGAACGTATTAATCGAGTTAACTATTTATAATTAAAGTCTACTATCCTTTTAATTCAATTTTAACAACAAAATAATAATTTAATTCGTAAAATCGTAAAAATCATATCGTAAATCGTAAGATTTAATCTAACCATGAACCGATTAAATCTTACGATTTTTACGAATTAAATTTTATTATTTTTTATGATAAAATTCAATAAAAAAAAGGTTACTAAACTTTAACTATACACAGATTGATTAATACGCTATTGTAAATTATTGAGTTTAACCGATTCAAATATTTGAATATTGTATACGAATTGAAATGAGTTGAGCTTAATCGATCAAATCTTTGAATATTGTTTTTGAATTGAAAACACATGAGTTTAATTGATTCAAATATTACGATTTAATAAAATCTTCCAA